ATTATTGATTTTATTATTGCCTACATTAGATGAACTTTGGCCACCGTCAGCAAATGACCAGTATGAAAAGGTTAATAAAAATAAATATATATATAAAATATAAATTAATTTCATTTTGAATAAAGATAGAATAAATTATATAAAAATAAGGATGAATGTTGTATCAAGAGAAAGGAGGAAAGAGGGCAAAGATGAATAAAAGGAATTACGATTTCAAGCAATTCATCCTTTGATAACAAAGAAGAAAAGATGGAGGTAAAAAAGTTTATAAAGAGGTAATTATTTAAATTTTCCATGCGAAAATATTATCAATTTTTGTTACACAGCATCAGTTAAATTAATTTAATACATGCTTTGTAGAACTACGTATAAATTCCGATTTGCTCTTTTATATATATGTCGTATGTTTGTATTATATTCTTCATTAATAAACCATATAAAAAGTCCTACGCATAGAATTATTGTCTGAAGGATGAAAATGGCATTCGTGAATTCTTAAAATTAATTAGTTGTTTTATTATCAGGTAATTCTAACCGTGACAGGAAATTAAAATGAAATTTTGACATGTACTAATAGTAATTATTATTGCTCAATCAGAAATCTTTTTTTTGCCATATACGGATATGTAGTGTAATAATATTATTTAGATGCGTGTCCTGAATATGGTTAGGCTAGTGAATTTTGGCAGAGATCTACAATTAATATTTCCCCGCATTCCAGGAAAGGAAATGTACAATTACAGCGATTGCTATGCATTTAAATAGGCTGACATTAAAGTGATAAAAAAGCCATTTATTGTTTTTTTTTTTTTTTTTTTTTTTTTTTTTTTTACCTAGATTTACGAATATATATATTTGTATTCCAGACTGATGAATTAATATCGTCTAAATGGCATCACAGAAAGCTCCTACTATAGATAAATTACATATTATAAATTTATATAAAAAAGCAATTAGATTGCTTTGAAATAAATTATGTTTTAGTAGTGTTCCTTTTACTGTGTTTCTTTTCAATTCAAAACTGCAATTGTGGTGTATTTTGGTTAAAGTAATCAATATTCAACTCATAATATATAGTAATGTAAATTCGAGGTAATGCCTTCTGTCCCTCATTGTTAACTATTAAGAGGGCATTTACGTGACAAATAGCTCTGTGATCATTTAATTTATGAACAGTCAGAAAACTCTTTTGCTTGTCTTTCAGTGATTATAATCTCTATTGCAATTATGAGTTCGTCTTCGTATACCCTGGCTTTACTTATTTGTGCTGGTAATACAAACCCTAAAAAGGAAGCAGCCAATAACAAAATCGAAGATCCTATTAATAAGTTCAAGTTATTAAAACTTCTAGCGATGATTTCTCAATAACTACTTGATTAAATTTGGTAAAAAATTTTTTATATTAATTCTATAGTATTGTAAAATTAAAATGAAAAAAGCAATTGTTGAGAAATCATCGCGAAAAGATTTTTTTCATAAAAAATTAAGATATCAAAAAAAAAATTTCAAAAAAAAATTTAATGCTTTTCAAATTACTGTGATCAGCAGTCGATTATCCACCACACTGTCAGGGACCCGGAAAATATTGATTTATATAGATCAATACAAATCGACATTTTTAGGCCAAATCATAGGGAAATCGATATTTTTGCAATTTTTTATGCAGTGTAACAACCACTTCGTGCAAAATTAAAAGTATAATTTGGGCCGGGCAACATAAATTTGGCCAACCTGAATAGTCGGCACGTTTCGGGAATGTAGACAATCACAAACAAAAGTTTCCACTAACCTCCCGAAAAAAATAATGTTATTTAATGTTACACCAAATCATGGATTATTATTGGTTAATCATGGGCATATCAATATAAATCGATATTTTTGACCATATCGATAGATATTAGAATTTAAAAAAGCAAGACAAGTTCACAAATTATGAATATAAAATACCTATTTATCATGCGATACCCTTCAAATAGTTCATTCACATTAATCATTTTACGTAGTGCATATCATATAAGCATGTACATACGTGTTATTACTACTACACCCATGTGCATCATTTCAAAACAAGTAAAGATTTTCTAAATTCAATACAGTCAAGTCAACCTTCAATAAATGCATGTTGTTGGTGGTATAATGGGGTTTGGTATGTTAGAAATAAATTTTATTTATTTCAATCATGGAAGACTTCCATTTTTAACTATTAATTTTTTTAAACTATTTAATAGGATATGATTCGCTTTCAGTATATCCAGACACTCAAACTCCTTTTACAAATATGTACAATCAAGGTTTAATTCCTCAACAAATCTTTTCGGTACAATTACGTCCTGCACGTAACAAAACAAATTATGGTGGAATATTCGTCTTTGGCGGCATCGACTCTAATTTATATACAGGCTCTATAACATATACTCCTGTAACTTATAAATACTTTTGGCAAATTGGAATTGATGCTGTAGAATATAATGGAAAAGCTGTTACGTCTTCTTTAAAAGGACGTAAACAACAGTGTATAGTTGATACTGCTACTGCATTACTTATTCTGGGAACAAATGTAGCAAAAACATTGCATACAAGCATGAATGGAAAATATGATTCTTCTTCACAAAGGTGGCAAGTTCCTTGTAATTTAAATAGCAGTACGAAAGTGTCGATTAGGATTAATGGTGTTTCACTTCCAATTAATTGTAAGTTTTTACTACTGCATGAAACCTATCTATACCTTAATTTTGGTTCGTCATTTTTAACTTATCTACTATTTTAAATAATAGATCAAGATCTTGTGAGAGAAAAAATAAGTCCTGGAAATTCTTGGTGTTATTCTGGAATAGCTTCTACTAATAGCTCTGTGAGTATTTATTCTAATATTTCTGAACATATTTCTATTAAATTTCAATTTCTCACACCAAGTTTTTTTTTAAAAATAGATTTACATCCTTGGCGGCACCTTTACAAAAAATTATTATGTAACTAATTTCCTGGTTATTAATGATGATTTCAGTTTGTTCATCATTAAATT